ATATGTTATGTTAACTTTATCTAATTGAGTAGCCATCTGATCCAGATGGTTGGGCTTTATTATTTTCGAATCACCAACACAACTATTCTCTACTACTGGTCAGTAAGTCTCTCTGACCTAGGCCAATCAACATCATATTATTACACGATATACAAACTTTAAAATTGTCATGCATTTAGATAGACCTCCAGCTTTCCTCACAGCATACATTCATCTATTTGACATGCTAGTCTTAACACTGGTCATCACTAGGACAAACAAAAAGTTTACATAAATAGATATCCAAATCAAGAAAGTTCACCGAATGATTCTGGAAGAACTAACAACTTCACAGTGCATAGTATTGTTAATTGGGTTGACGGTAAAATGAAATTTTATTATGAGTTTAAAGCTTTTTATCAGAATCATAAAACTCTAAAATGAAATTTCTAAGTTGAGAAATAAGGGCATAAAGCTCGGTATAGAGTGAGTGGCTGCAACTTCTGGTGGATATGCTTGTTCATATTGGTGTTTGTCCAGAATTCTAAGAGTTTGTTTGACTCTATTATATGCCTAAAATATTAATAATATTATACATACATATTTTACGTTTTGGCCGACATAATTATTTATATTGTATGTGAATTTCGGGCAAACCATAAAAGATGTGTGACCATAAACCAATTAATTTATAATAGATACAAAAACAAACTTCTTTTGCATGATATGTGTTTTTGGAGCAAATGAATTTATTTAAAAAAATCATTACAGAAATTTTATATACTGTATATATTGCTACTAAAATCTAATATGATTTGATTCAATTCTATAATAAAATGATGGAACCTTTTCTATAATATCATAAATCAATAATAATGAGTAACACCATTTAATTTCAATTGTGTAATTTGTTGCATTTGAAACCTTTTTTTCCTTTAACTCTACCATTTTTGCTGTCTTTTTTTCACAAAATAAAATTAAAAATAATTTCTTTTTTAAATCAGGTATCACAACTAGTGCTTATAATTTTATTATTATAATAAACTTATAAGATAAAACCAAATAAATACATATAACTGATTTAATAGAAGTCACAAATTTTTGTTCGTACCATGTTTGGGTTTTCGTAAAGAAACTAATAATGCATGAGTGTTTTAGGGGAAAAAATGGTAATATTATCTAGTTTATTCGTAAGATTTAAAATTAGAATTAACCCAGAAAACCAAACCTCTCCCTTCTCCCTCCATATATACACAAATATTTTCAATGTGTTGTTTCTATGTTCTCTTCTTCTTCTCTAAAGACACAATCGCCCAAGATTTTTATTATTAATCCATTCACCACCGTTATCTCTTTGCTTTCAAATTCAATTTACTATTTCTACAGTGATGCGTTTCAAATTCAAATTTGTACCATCCCTCCTATCATCATATGCTTAAGCTCCGGCAATGCAAGAATCCCCCAAGCCTCTAATGGTCAGCCATAGCTGCATAAAGAAACAAGCTCGAAAAGGTCATGTGCCGATTTACATCGACAAAAAATGCAAATATTTCAAAGTTTTGATGAAGTTTTTCTATCCCTCCTGCATTCCAAGAACTCTTCGAGAAGTTCATAGATGATGGTGATTTTTTTTGATCCTAAGATCGATAAATCTTTGGTTCTCGAATGTAAAGTTGAGTTCTGTGATCTATTATTAAAATTTGATAAAGAGAATTTGATTTGAATTTTTTCTCTTTTCTTCAATTTCTTTAATAATAAATTTAATTAATAAATATAATTTGACATTTCATTTAAAAACTTTTTAAGAATATTACGAAGAACGATAATTTTTTTTTAATCTTAAAATTAATTAACCTCTTGGTTCTTGAATCTACTTGGTACAATTGGCCAAAAAGAGAACTTGGTACAATTTTTTTTTTCTTTTTTCTTATCTTTTTAATTTAATTGGTAGATTTAGTATGAGCTTTAGGTTAGTTTGTTTCAATTTCTTTCTTCAGTGTCAAATTTTCTCTTTCTCATCTTCAATGTCAAACTTGTTTCTTGGATGAAAAGATTAGCCGCATGAGTAATTGATATTTCAATTAATTTCTTCCTAAATGACTTTTTTTTATGTGTTCAAATGAATATAATAAAATGAACAAGAGCTATACATTTGTTTACTACAAAAAAAAAAAAAAAAAAAAGTGAAGTAAGATTGTAGTGAATGTTACTTAAAAATATATATATAATAAATATATTTGGTTTATTTTAAAATTTTTATGATGTGTGAATTTAAGTCATGAAATTTAAAATAAAATATGTGTATTAAAAATGTCAAATGCGGAAAAGAAGTCAAAATTTCGATTAACATCCCTTACACTAAAACTAAAAACGTGCTCAAAATATAAAAGATCAAACTAACTAAAAGAGAGACTCGAAAGTAAAAGCTTTGAATATGACTATGGAGTCTTTAGGCGTCCCCTTCGTCGTCTTCCTGCGCGACGGGCTCGGGAACAATGTCTTCCTGATCTGAAATGATTAAATAAGGGATGAGCTACACTAGCCCAGTAAAGACATCACGATATCTCACCGTCACGGAGGTAAAGGTGGGTAGAAAACACAAAAAGACCAATGGAACATGATTTACAACAAATCCTTTTATTAATAATAAAACATTTACCATCCACTTACCTCGGCGAAATTCATAAAACATACGAAAGCAATAATATTATCATCATCATGAAATCATATAAACTGTATAACATAATACTTATCACGCCTTTTGTAATTCAATCATTACACAACATATTTTCCTCATTTACCAGCCTACTAGTATCCATGGGGATCCATAGGGGTCCCGCTACCCGTTAACCCTTAACACTTGAAATCAGATTCCAGGGCCGTCTCCATACCCCGTCCGGTATGGGCACCAAAATTATAAACCTCATTACCCCGTCCGGTATGAGGGTGAAACGGGCCGTCCCCATACCCCGTCCGGTATGGGCGCCAAAACACATAAGGTCTCCATACCCCATCCGGTATGGGAGACCACAATCCCGGTAGGGTTCCCTATGGACCCGGTCCGTCCACCATCTCCCAGGATATCTAGTCAGGCTGACCACATTATACAATTATCAATTTACATAATCTTTCATTCTCCTTTTCCTCAGTCAGCATCAGCAATTTACATACAAACAAGCAAACAGTAATTTATGTCAAACAAGACAACATACAGCATCGGTTTCTCAGTCATTCAACCCATAATCAATAAAATAGTAAAATATGCACGCGAAACAATGAAATGAAAACATCAGACCTCATACTGCATTTAAAACTGTAAAATATGCCAAATAACAGTTAACCGACAAACACACTAGACTCGGGCTCCATTAGCGACCTTAAGCAATTTCACACATTCGTTGATTCAAGAATTACCATTTTATCATTATTGAACTTTAATACCGTGATAGGAAATAGGGTGAGGGGTCCTTACTCGTTTCGGGGTCCGAATACGGCTTCACAGTGCGCCTACAGGCTGTCCCTAATTTTTCCTGAATTTTTCCTGGGGAACTGAAACGCACTACTGGTACCTGCACGTGTTCCAAAAAATTTCAAATTAGGCCCAGGGCCCCTTTTTGGCCAATATCGCAATTCCGGCACGGCGGCTCCGCCGTGCTCCGGCGCAAGCGGCGGCGATTCGCCTCGGGTTGGCCATTTTCGATCGTTTCCGGCCGAATTCGGCCACACTTGCATCGGTCCCTGCGATAAAACAACCCTAGGGCCCTCGGGGGGCCAAAAAATTACGGAAAGCTGAAGCTTACCGGCGGCGGTGCTCTCGGGTGCGGCGGCTCTCCGGTAAGGTTCATGTTTTGGTGATTCGGCTCCGATCAACCTGTAGAGAAAAGAATGGTGATCACGGTGATATAAAAATTGCATCAAACGGAGGCCGGGAAGGGCCTCATCGGAGGTAAAAACCGAGGAGGGGCGCAGCGGCACTGCTGGGTTTCGGCCGTTTGGCCGGGATTTTGACTCTGATTTGGCCACAAGGGAAATCAGCGTGGAAAAACGAGTCGGGAGTATGAAATTTACCTCGATCGGCGGTCGGAAATCTCCCCGGTGCTGCGGCGGGTGGCGGCGGCCGGCTTCTCCGGCGTCTGGTTCGTCTTCTCCGGCGAGGGCAGGCGGCTAGGGTCTTTGTGGTCAGGTGTGGGGGTTCTATTTATACCCTTTTGCTTTTTGATCTTAGCCGTGCATTTTGATTTAATCTGAACCGTCTGTTTTTGATTTAATCTGGGCCGTCCGTGCGCACGCTTGATCTGGGCCGTCCGATCGCGCGTACGCGGATTACCAACGTGGCCCGTCTCCGATCGACGTGGTCTTGCCACGTGACAGGTCCTGGTTGGCCAAAACTGCTGACTGGGTCTGCTGACGTAACACTCTTTTTTTTTTTAAACTTAATAAAAATAATTAATAATAAAATAATAAAATTTCCCAATTTTTCGGGCGTTACAATGTTACTTAAAAATATAAATATATAATAAATATATTTGGTTTATTTTAAAATTTTTATGATGTGTGAATTTAAGTCATGAAATTGTATCATATCTTTTTATTAAAAAATTGTATTTACGTGTGATATTGTAATGAGTTTGTATTTATTGGTGTTTAATTGATAAAATTAATGGAAGTTATTTTTTATTTATTTATTAAACCCAACCCAAAAAAAAAAGCATTACTACGACACCCAGCCAGCTCGGCATTCTCCTGCCACCAGCAGCTATTTCTAGCTTTCTGACACGTGTCAATATTACATTTGGTGTGTTTCGTTTCCCCAAATTAGACTCATCTTTTCTCCACGAAACCGTCCCCACAGGGGGCAATTTAGTCAAAATGTAATTAGGGATTGGACTTCAAGCAAATTTTAAATCTAGTTAATTATTCATACCAAATCCGCTCGTATAAATACCACCATCAACGTCTCTGTCGTTTCAGCTTGCAACTGCAAGAGTTTCCGCCTTTTCTCTCTCCACTTTTCTACTGTTTTATCAAACAAAAAATGCAGAACATCTTTAATGGCAATTAGGCTCTTATAGTATATTCTCTTCTTTAAGGCCTACCTTCTGGAGTAGGATTATGCTTGCTCTTTGGTAAGTCGGGGATTTCTTGTGCAGAATATTTCAATTTGGTGTAAACAATGTGCACATTGTTGGCGGAGCAGTGATACGAAGTTGATTTCAACCTCAAATTAGGGTTTGCTGATGGATCTGGTGAAAGACTTTACGGTGAGCTGGATTAATATACATTTTGCAAAATTCAGTGATAATGTTTCAATTTTTAAGTTGTACCTCTTTTAAGGATAAAAAGATTCTCAGTGATAAAAACAAAACCGAGCAGCTTTCCATGTCATAGTTCTTTCCGTTTTTTTAGAGGTTTCTGTGAAACTTTTGGCATTTTCTCGGAATCTCCCCTTTTTTCTCATGGTGAAACCTTCCTTTCATAATATTCATGCGTGTAGAATAGGTACTTGATCTCCTGTATATTGACGTTTCTGCAAATATCTTGCTGTATTTTTCAAGTTTTTCATGCTTTACTGCGAATTTTGGGGAGAAGCACGCTTGTTTTTTGAGTATCCTCATTTTATATAAAATGTACCATTTAACTGATCACAGGAGACTGGAAGACTCGATTTAAAAGAGTTCTTCAAGTCGCTTCCGAAATGCTCCGATCCTAGTTTTCCCCTTCAAAAAGCTTCTTCACCTGATGCCAATCTTCAGAATTGGACACCAGCAGAAGCAGTCAATATCACTGAGTTAGAACACAGCTTCTTCAAATCAATACTTGAAGATGACAAACCTCTTTTCTTAGATACCGCAAAGCTATTCGTCACCGAAAGAGGTTCTACCATAGACCGAAGCGTGGCGTCAAAGCTTCTTCACTCATGCTGCGCATATGACTCAATCGACTGCACCACATCACTCATCAATGGCGAGCTAGGAGCTGTACCATTGGTGAACGAGGTGGACCCATCGGCAGGGCTGTCGCCGCTGCACGTGGCAGCTGAGGCGCACGCGGTACGGTGCGTAGAGCTGCTGTTGAAGAAGCGCGCGCGTACAGACCTTAGGACCAGAGACGGTCGCGGCCTGCTTCCTCTGGAGCTGTCACTCTCTGGTAGGAGGTAAGGCTCGACAAACTAGCACGTCGTTTTCGTTTTTCTTCTGTTGATATTAGAGGTAAAAGGTTGGTTTCTTTATGATCAAGACTCCACGGAAGAAGCTTGGCCTTTTTTGACAAATTCTGCCTTTTCTTTACCCTCCTTGCGTTTTGTTTGTCCTATTAGGCTACTATACTATTTCATTGCATTTATATCTGCCTTCCGAATTATAGTTTATAACAGCCATCTCCATGGTATCTCTTTTCTCAGAATGGATGTGAGTTGGAATCCGGATGACTACTCAGTAAAACACTTGGTGGATCTGCTTCGCAAAAAGGTTCGTCGACATTCTCGAGAATGAAACTCTCACAGCGTCTTGTGCTGTCTTCACGAGAAAAACCATGAACGAGTAAAAAAAGAACAGAAGAACTGGAGTCTGGTCAAAGGAGGAGTTTTATTAATTTTCCAAATATAACAAACCTCTATGCAGCGTTTTATCCTTAAAATGCCTAGTTTGACTGTTCCTTCCACAGGATTTGACCGCGGTAAAGCTTCTAACAGAAAAAAGAAAGGAGGTCGACGAGGTGGCATACGCAAACGCCATTGATGGGCGAATAGTCCCATTAGCTGCTTTACTCATAGTAGCAGCAGAGAAGGTTATCGACGCGGATATAGAGTTGCAAGACGCCGATTTGGGTCCCAAACAGAAGACGACAATATATGAATGCGTGATTAAGGAAGCGTTATCATTGGGCCGAGCAACAACGACGTCGTCAGGAGCCGCCATACGTACCTGCGCTCCTTCGAGAGACCAGTCTTCGGTGAAAAGAAAGCTTTTGCTTTGCGAGATGGAGTTGCTGCAGATCTTTGGTGCTGGAACTGCCGCTCAAACCGGTGTTACGGAGAAGAAGCTGATGTCACCATTAATCCGGGGAACGCAGGTAAGAAAAAAAAAAAAAGTAGCTTTATTTATTATTCTCTCGTTTCTGTAGTGGCCCCAGTATTTGTTTTAGAGGTTCGTTATTCCATTTTGTTAGCAGCATTTTATTTATATATTAGTTTTAATTATTTATTTTCAGTAAATTAAATTTTTTTTACAAAGTTTGTCAAAAATTTATTATATTGTACTAATTATTTATTTTAAGTAAATTACAAAACTAGAAAAGTAATTGAAGGCTTCAGAAAATAAAAAATGACAACATAGTATTGAGAATGATAATATATCAGGTCTCGTTTTTCTTTTTAAAAAATAGTAAATTAAAGCATGATGACACCGTAATATTTAGTTTTGGAATTATCTTCTTAAGAAAAACATATTAGAATCGTAGAATAAAAAACAAACATGTATTAGTTAGAATTAGAAGAACCCTTTCATTTTTTATTTTTCATTTTTATTAATTTCTGTTGAAATATTTTTAAAAGAACTATAAGAGGTTTTAAATTTCAAATTTAATTAAAGAAAAAATGTATAATTGATAAATAATACAATTACAATAAATATCAGTATATGGTCCATGCGGTATAATTGATATTTGCGCAATTAGCAATAAAAATGATTTATTCGGTAAAAATAGTTTTAATGTGAAAATGTTTTTAATTAATTATGTTATAAAATTAGTAATAATGTTGAAATGACAAAAAGTACATGATAATAAAAAGCTTAGTAATAAAAATTGTTTCAATAATATTATTCTTTATTGTAAATAAATATTAAATTTAAATTATTATTATTTAATTTAGATATAAAATTTTTTATAATAAAATAATATTTTATTTTTATCTCAAAAAAAAAAATTGATCCATTAATTTATTAAGTAAATATAAACTCAATAGACATATTTATTATCTTAAAGCATAATCTACTTATTTTTAAATTTTTGATTTTATTTTTATCAAAAACTAAAATAAGTTCTGATTAACTAAGAAAACTTCAGTTATTGAATGTTTTATAAGAATTTTGCTTTTCGACGGGGGAAACGGAAGGTGGATCTAAATCAGAGTTACGTATGAAGATTGGATGGTTAAAAGTAATTTAAGAAAGGAAAATGCAACTTGGTTAGTCTATTTTGAAGTGCCTATAGACATAAGCTTTACTGGTTTTTTTGTAAGCCATGCATATTTCTTATTTACTGCAAGTAAAAGCTGAACAGAAGATATTTAACTTAATTTAGTTTATTTTTATTAAATCTTTTTAAACTATTTTACTTCATTTTACTACGTCAGAATATTTTATATTTTATATTTTATATTTTATATTTATGTGTAATTCATATATTTATCTATACCCATTACGATTATATATTTATAAAGTAATCAATAAAAAATATACATATTTTTCTAAAAATATTTAAAAATAATATTTCAAACTCTATCATCATTTTTGCTTTTATACAATTATTTTTAACTAATTTGTTTATTTTTTATGAATAAAATTTGAAAAAGTAAAAATTACAAAATATTTTTATGTCCAAAAATCTGAAATTGGACAAAAAAAAAATTAGCTTGTATATATTATATTTCTCAAAAATTGTATTCCTAATGTGTATATGAATATTGTTATACTGATTTTAAATATTTTTATTTTATATTCATATTAGATTTTTAATTAAATATTAAACATACAAATATTTTCATATTTGGTTATATGATATGCAACCAAAGATTTCTGGACTTCTCCTTTCTCTACATGTAGGATGGAGATGAAGCTGTCATTGAGCTGCTCCTGGAGACAAACATTAATATAAATGATACGGATGCTGAAGGAAACTCTGCACTTCATTGGTCTCTCAAGATGTCATGGGGATCACTTACGGACCAGATGAAGTATTTTTTTTTCTCCCTTCTTCGTAAATGTTTATGCAGAAACATATTGATATATTAATGTCGTCCAGAATTATATGGCTTCTTCTGAAGCATGGTGCTCGAGTGACACAAAGAAATAAGTTGGGGTTAACGGCGTTTCACTTTGCTGCTGCTAATGGTAATTCACAGGCACTTCAGGTATACTTCATGTTTTCTCTCAGCGGTCTCTTGTTTTTTCTTCTCCACTTCGGTTTTACTTTTTCCTTATATTGAGCCTGCAGCTCCTTCTTCTGGAAAGCCCAGATGGCATCAACTCTAAGACAGAGATGAAAGAGACTCCTCTGTTTTTTGCCGTTAAGAATGACCACATGGACTGTGCTGAGTTGCTTCTACAGAGGGGAGCAGACAGTGAAGTGTTCAATTTGCGGTGTGAAACTATAAAGTCTTATGGGTCAAGCAAATTATTCTTCTCCCAGGGGACATAATATGGCTAACTTTTTATTCTTTACTCTTTCTGTTGCTTATCATTGTTATCAATTACAGTAGACAGAGGCCCTTAGAATTAGCAAAGTCACAAGATATGCGTTTCATGCTAAATCCAACAAATATTAGTTTCAGTAAGTTTAAATGCAAACATATTCTGACTAATACTGAATATGATATAACTTTCAAGAAGCGAAGTTTATCTAATTTCTTTGTTTCTTGTTTTCGCAATAATCTACAGTGAAGCGTGGTTCTCCCATTCAACAGAAACATCCTGATTGGTTGCGTGCTGATGAGGCTGTTTCAGACACATTTGATGCACTTTTCCCCACGACAGATGATGACACCGCCTTTGAAAGGTGATTATCCTGCTTGAAGCCACCAGCTTAAACTTTGCTGTTTTATGATATTTTTCTTTTTGTATATATGAACTCATAATCCTGGTCTGCTGCTGGATTCTAGAAACTCTTCGAACAAGAAGACAGAGATTTGCAAATATTTTGAATCTCCAACAGGATGCATCAGAGGATCAAAATGCTTGTTTGCTCATGGTCAGGAGGAGCTTCGGCAGAAGCAGGGAACTCATACAGTTCATTGTCCTTCCGTGCAAGAGCTTAAACGGAAAATTTTTGTTGGAGGTCTTCCTTCGTCGTTGGACTCCGGTTAGAATCTTCTGGCTATATTTAACAATTGTAGTCATGTTGAGTTCGAATATCCTGATTTCTCTCATCCACTTTCTGGAGCAGATTCACTGGGAAAATTTTTTGGAGAACAATTTGGATCCGTGGAAGATGCCGTGGTAATTGGAAATCAGACAAGAGATCATAGACAGTCTCGAGGATTTGGGTTTGTCACCTTCAAGCATGAGAGATCTGTCTCAGATGCTGTTCAAGCACATTATGTGAGCATTATGGGCAAGAAAGTTGAGATCAAGAGTGCAATCCGGAAGTCGGTGCTGCTGAATGAATCCAAGAAACTGTCACTTCGACGATACGGGCAAGAAGAGAGGAACAAGAATCAACTGCAAGGACAGACATGCAATGAGGATACAACAGATATGCCTGGTTGGTACACCAAAGAAGAGGCTAAATCTGAGACCATTTCCTGGGCTGATAGGTTGCTTCAGGGGCAGCCAAACTCGTGTAGTTCTGAACTTAAAACACAAGGTTTTGTGCATGAAAATATGCCATCATGGTTCAAAACTTTCAGGAAATGGCTTCCCTCTATGTTGGAGAATGTATCAAGGGATGGAAAAGAAGAAGAATATCCCCTCTCATCTTTGAAAGCTGATTTCAAGGCCACGTTTGGCCTGGAGCTCAATCATGCCTCTCTTGGCTACCCAAAGCTTAGTGACTTCATGAGATATATTTCAGATCTTTGTCAGATGAAAGTGGTTCCCATTGGTAGACGTGGACCTGCCACACACATGGTACTCTTACCTAGCCTCCCTAAGCCTCCATCACGACGGTGTGAGCCTCTGAAATTGCTCTGTCCCTCTTATGCTGCACCAGCTGATGTCAGTGGAAATGGTGATTCTAATGACTCCAAATGCCCTCAGGACCTTCTGTTGGTGTCTGGTGAAAATATTAGCAGTTACAGTACCAGCATTGAGATTGGGAGCCCATCCGAAGAAGTTCCTGATGAGAACTACGCTCAGAAAAAGAATTCTACTCTGAAGGATACAGCCCATAGTGCATCCTCAAGGTTTCTACAGTTCTTAAAGCCAGAATCACTCGGCAATGCTCAAGAATTATCATACAATAAAAGAAATGTGGTAAGTGGAGATGATGATGACAGAGGAGGAATTGAAGCGTCTAACGGAAGAAAATGTGGAGATTGGCAGAGGCATTCAGTTCTTGAGACCCTTGCGAGAAAACAGAACAGCAAGTCTAAGTTTTTTCTTCGTGAATATGATTTTTATAAGGTGAGATGAGCTAAACTTGTTACATTTATGCAATTTGAGCATTGAAGCATGTTACTTATTTGTTGTTGGATGGTGTATGCAGCGTTATAAAGCAAGCATCTTCCGAGGGAAGTGCTTCTGTTGCGAGCAGTCCGAATTATTGTGGGCTAATTTTCCCTGTCAACACCTAGTGTGGTGCAGTGATTGCAAACTACATGCTGAAAGAGCGGCCAGAGATCTGGATCACAGATGTGTAGTATGTGATGTAGAAGTCCAGAAGATTATTTTGGACCCATCAAAGGGATATTACCAGCACCAGCCTCTATATAAAGATGTCCCAAATGATGATGAGTTCCCACCTTTTAGTGCTACTGATATCCGAATGTGAGTTTATGTCTACAAAATGATAAAACAGAAATCTTTATTTTTTCCCACTCTAGTGCCTTTTATTTTCCATTTTCTCTCTGGCTTTCTTGCAGTTCATTAAGGAAGAAATCTCTTTGAAATGGTGACTAATAAGGTGGTCGCAGTTACAGTGTTGTGTGTGGATAGAGAGAGGAAGAGTAATAGAAGAGACTTTAGACATAGGGCATGGCAATTGGAGTCTCCTTGCCCATAAAACTTAAAACTCATAGTTATAAAAAAATATGTGATCATAGTTACTAGTGGTGAAAACAGATGCCTGATTGTAAGTAGGTTAGCCTCATGTCCAGTTGTTTGGCTGAACTTCGATGAAAGGATTGTGTATATAGTTGAAAGATTTGGATTTCAATAATCTCATGCATATTGTTACAATGATTTTTTTTTGGGTCAGGAGCATATTGCTATAATATTAATTTATAGCAATTATATTTTGGAGGATTGGAAGTTGTTAGAGTGGAATAAGTATAGTCTTCTAAAAAGAAACTGTTATTGCTTTTAATTCCATTAATTTACATTTTCCTTCAGAGCCAGCATTGGTTTTGTGTTGGGAAGAACATGTTTCAATCTCACTAGAACATCCTTCTAAACATAAACCACTTCTTTCTCTTATCTCCTTTCCTACATCCCCTTTCCTTCAATCTCACTAAGCTTTACTCCAACCTGCAAACAGATAAAAATTAGAATAAATTCCGGGCAACTCCCTTTCCCTTATTTTTAGCTCTTCCTTTAGCTGGAATTCCAAAGCTACTTTTGCAGCTCATTTCCAGGATAAGCGATTGTTTGACAAGCAGAAGACCCTAATGCTTCTCCTGTTGTTGCCCTTCAGCTTAAGCTTTTAAATCCATGTGTATAAATCTTGACCACGATTCACTCTCATTTTTGCTACTCATCTGCCAAAACGTCCATTTCTCTTCTTATGTTGACAAATGATACTCGTCCCAGTTTCCATCAAATTCGTGATTTCATTTCCCACCATATTTAGCCTCCATAGATAAGCACTTTTGACTACCTAGGATACCACTACCGCAGAGAATTTTGTATGTTTTCCTGCTATTTTATTAAAGAACTGAAAGTGCCTATTTATAGGCTTCCAAACAGCTGAAAAACCTAAAAATTCTCAACTAAATCCAAATTTTATATCATTATCTACAACTCAACCAAGCTGAAATTAATCTAATTTTCGATAACTAAAATAAGCACATGTCAATTTGAATCAACCTTCATCACTCGCCCTTGATTTAGAATTGCACACTCCAAGCTAATGTTTCAAGTAGACGTGCTTTTCACAAGAAAGCAATTGTGTGAGAATATCAGCTATCTCCTCATTGTGTTACAGTACTGTAGATTGATCAGCCCTTTTGCCACGAGCTGTCCAGTGAAGTGAACTTGGATATCTATATGCTTTGTTCTTCCATGGTAGGCTGGATTCTTAGCCATGCAATTTCTTTCATCTTGTCCTTGATTAAGGTCTGTAAGGAACCATCGTAACCATACAACTTGACATGCCGATGAACTTGCTGCTACATTTTGAAAGTTAGATGAAGATAAAGTTGTTGCTTCTTGCTTCTTCTAGCTCCAAGAAGTGGCTCTTGATCCCAAATAGAAAATATATTCTTCTATTTCCAAACAGTCAGCCCAGTTATTTTCAATGAATCTGCACTATTGAAACTTGAAACTTGAAACATGGTAATACCACAAACCAAAATCTATTGTTCCAGCAATATAACACAAGATCCTTCTTCCATCTCCTAAATGAAGTTATGCAGGACAATGCATAAACCTTGAAATAACTCCAAGCCATATCATGTTTTGGTATGAGTAAATATAGCAAGCCATCAACCACGCTTCTGAAGTAACTTGAGTTACTTGTTTTGTGTCACCTTATTGATGTACTTTCCCACTTAAATTCAAAGTCATGGCTTGAGTTTTACAATTCAGTATGTTAAATCTCTTACGAAGGTCAGTTGCATATTTCCTTTGTGCACCAAGAACTACATTTTCAACTTGAATCACTTCCAAATTAAGGAAATATTGCAAAAGACCCAAATCTAATATTTGAAGTTTGTTCCTCGTAAAAGTTTAAAGAAACAAGAACTCA